CTCCTCCCGGCCTCTGGCAACCACCATTCTACTCCCAACTTCCATGACATCCAAGAACTTGGATTCCACCCATGAGTGAGGTCCTGTGGCTCTTGTCTTTCAGGGCCTGGCTTATTTCCAGTCCCATCCATGTTGTAATACGTGGCGGGATTGCATTCCTTTCATGGCTAAGTGGGGCTGTGTCGTGCATATGTATCACACCTGGTTCATCTAATCATCAGCTGGTGGACACAGGTCATTCTAGTTCTTGGCTGTTGCAAACAGTGCGGCATGAACATGGGAATGAAGACACTGCTTTGACATACTGTCTTTGTTTCCTTCGGGTTCAGCTGCCCAGTAGTGGGGTGGCTGAATTATAAGAAAGCTCTATTGTTAAAGAATTTTTTTAAAGAGAAAACTATATATAGAATTTCAAAATAAGATGATAGGAAATTAAAAATGGTTATTATATTTCATATTGCTGTCTTCAAAGTAGTTGTTCAGATAATAAGACATAAGCCTGAAAATTTGATCAAATAATGCAAGCACAATTTGTTTCTTTGAATGAACTAATTGAAATTAGTAGTACAATTATCTTAGCTATCTGGCATATATCTATTTTTCCCTTCCTTCCTTTCTCCTTTTCCCCATCACAGTTGTTCTTTCCTTTTCAGCAGTTGCTTTCTCTTCCACAATATTTATTGTCCCTTTTGGATCTTATTTACTCTGTCAGTTTCTTACACTAGGGAGACAACACAATGTTTACACATGTGAGACTGATTCATTTCACTTATGATTATAGCCTCTAGATTTATACATTTACCTGTAAAAGCCTCAAGTTTTTTTTTCAAGTTTATTTTTTTATGTAGCTGAGCATACTGCATTGTATAAAAATACTACATCTTTTCTATCAGTTCCTCAGTTGATAGGCATTTGGGCTGTTTCCAAGATTTAATCATGACAAGTAGTGTTGTTACAGACATGGGTGCATATTATCATTATTTTTAATGTTTTGAGGCATATTCATACTGTTTTCCATAATGGCCAGACTAATTTACAATCCCATCAACAGCATGCAGGGATTCCCCTTTTCCACATCCTCACCAGTACTTGTTATCCATGGTCTTTTTACAATAACCAGCCTTACTGGGACGAGGTACAATCTAATTGTGATTTTGGTTGGCTAGTGGGTACTGATGGTCAACATCCTTTCATACCCTGGTTATCGATTTGTATGTCTTCTTTTGACAAATGTCTGTTTAGGTCTATTACCTGATTTTAATCATATTAATTGCTGTCTTTCTGTTGAGTTTTTAGAGATAGATAGATGATAGATAGATAGATAGATAGATAGATAGATAGATAGATAGATAGATATAGATGATAGATAGGTAGATAGATAGATAGATAGATAGATAGATAGATAGATAGATAGATAGATAGAGATAGTGTCAGCTTCTTGCCAGATGTATAGTTAGCAAATATTTCCTTCCGTTGTGTATGTTGTCTCTCCCCTCCCCCGATAATTATTTCTTTTGCTATGCAAAAGTTTTTTTGCTTCCTATAATCTCATTTATTTACTTTTTCTTTGCATTCTGTGCTTTTGGAGTCATCCAAAAATCTTGTCCTTTCAAGTGCCCTAAAACTTTCCTTGTGTTTTCTTCTAGTACTCAACAATTTCACATCCTATACAGTATTTAAATCTTTAGTCCATTCAGGTGGATTTGTGTAACTGGTGGGAGACAGACTCTAGCTTCATTCTTCTCTAGATGAATACCCAGTTTTTATACTGTCATTTATTTAAAAGACTGCTCTTTCTCCAACACATGTTCTTAGCACCTTTTGCTGAAAACCAGTTGTCTATAGGTAATTGGTTTACTTCCAGCTGTTTTGTTCCATTGGTCAATTGTCTTTTCATGCCAACACCATGCTGTTTGATCACCACCACTTTTAACTATATTTAATAGTTTTATAATGCTTTCTACATTGTACTTTTTGCTCAAAATGACACTAGCTATTTATGAATCTTTGTAGTTCTACATAAATTTGAGATTATTTTTTGTATTTCTGTAGAGAATGTTACTGATGTTTGATAATAATTTTCAAATAGCGTTGAAAAAGGCAGGTAGTGTTGGTACAGGCAGGTTCTTGGCCACCAAGACTGATGCTAAGCTGGGTCACACCAGTGTCTCACTGCCACAATGACCTGCACAGTCTTGGGGCTGGAGCTGCAGCTGACAGAGATGCAGATGGAATAGAGCCCATCCCACTAGAGTGAAGATCTCCAGAAGGGACCAGAGTAGTTCTACAGCCCCACTCTGGGCACTGGCCTAGCAGCAATGGCTGCCCAAAGTTGTGCAGTAAATCCTGGAGACAGTTCTGTAGCCACCAAGGCTGACACTAAGCTGTGTCACACCTGAGTCTCAAAGCTGCAAATATCAGTGTGGTCTGGGAGATGAGGGGTAAGGCTCAGCCTCACTCCAAGGCCAGTAATGATGCCACCTGAAACTTGAATCAGTCTCAAGTCTCTGCCTGGTGCTCAGACTCTGGTCTAAAGCCTCCAGCTTGAGTTCTGGCCTATGTGTGGGGCTTTCAGGTGTTTGCCTCCTCACAGCCATCCTGGCACTGGACAGCAAGATGGTCCTGCCCTGGCATCCATGCCCTGTTCCCCAGCAAGTGGGGTCTTCTTCTCCACCTGGAGTCAGAGGAGGGACAGTGAAGGCAGGCAGCCACCCAGCCTACTGCACTTCCAGCTCTATGGTGTACAGGCCCTGGCCTGGCCATGGCAGTTGTGGAGCTGTCCCCAGTGATGGATCTTGAGGCTAAGATCTAGACTTAATTCTCTTTCCCTGCCACAAGGAGGGACAATATCTGCCTCAGTTAGTTTTCTCTTGTTTTTGGGACAAAATACCCGACACCCAAAATTAAGGAAGGAAAAGTTTATTTAGCTTACAGTTAGTGCAGGTTTCAGTCCATATTCAGCTGACTCCAAGGCAGAGTGGCACAAGGGCGGAGCAGAGGCTGTGGCAGCTAGCTAGCCTCTTTCCCCTCCTTGCATTGTCTGCAGATTACACGCCCCAGGGTGGGTGTATCACTCACACCCCTATTGGATCATGAATTAATCACAAACTCCAGAAGCCTACCCCAGTGATGACATGAGGCTCTGGGGGTGCAACTAGGTACAAACCATAACATTCTGCCCCTGGACCCCCAAAGACCCAGGCACATCCTTTATGCAAAAGGTGTTTTATTACATCTCTAAGAGTTGCCAAAGTCCCAACAGTTTCAGCATTGCTGAAAAGTCCAATTTGCAAGTATTCTCTAAGAACTAAGGCAAACTCTTACCTGTGAGACCCTGTACAAATGAAAAATTAAACTTCTAACATTTAATGGCAAAAGAAAACCATTACCATTCCAAAAGGTAAAAACAGCAGGATACAAAGCATTGGGACCAAGGCAAGCCCAAAATCCAGCAGGGCAAATATTGCGTCCTGTAGTTCTAAGTGGAACATCTGAAGCAATCTGTGACAAACTGTGATATGTCCATATGGCTCCACCTGGATAGCACTTTTAGTGGTAGCTGCCATGGCTTCTCTCTTAGGCCTGCTTTTCTCCCTCCTTGCAATTTTCCTGAGATGATCCTCATTACTGGCTTTACCAAACCTCTGGGGTCTCCACTGCACTATAGGCTTCTCACGCACAGCTTCACGCACTGCCCTCCCAGGGGCACACCGCCTGGCTTCCCAGGCCTTCTTCTGAAATCAAAGTGGAAGCCTTCTTAACCTCAGAACTCTTGCATTCTGCATGCACCTAAAACCAAAGCCACGTGGATGATGCCAAGGTCAGCTAACAGCAGGAGGACTAGACAAGTTTTCTTCTCTGTTGGATGTAGGGGCTGAGTGCCTGAGTTTCTGATCATACTGACCCTGATTCCAAGAATAAATTCTCTATGCTGCTGCCATTCTGGAGCCTGGTGTGGCTTCTGCCACCATTCTGTTTTGTTTTTTGGTACCAGGGATCAAACTCAGGACCTTGTGCTTGCCAGGCAGGCACTTATGCCACTGAGCTGTCTCCCTGGCCCATCTGCCACCATTCTGGAACATAGGGCTCTATGCCTTTCTCCTCAAAGCAAAGTCTTTCACTTTTGAAGTTTTTTTTTTCCTTTTTCTTCCCATTTTTTTATTAGTACATATTTGTGATACACAATAAATACATTCATCCTTGGGGAATTGGTAAATACACAGATCACATGTTGATCATTTTCAGTAAAATTTCTGTTTTGGAAAACTGGGTTAAGCAAGGATTCTCAGAGAACATTATTTATCCCTCCTTTTAGAGATTTCTCATCTAACTGTCAGCAATATTTCAAGAGAAAAGAAAGAGGTAGATACCACTAATGTAAAAAAAGAAATTAAAATTAAATGAATGAAAATTAAACATTATCTTTAAATTCTTCAGAATTGGCATTCAAATAAATACCTTGTCTTCATGATTACAATTCAAGTTTTTACTGCCTTAAGTTATAAACGAAAATAATATTTGAGAAAAATCATTCACAATTTCTTAAAAATACAGAAAAGTGTTACAAGTAGAAGTATTTCTACAGAGAATGCCAGAGGCAGTATCCAAAAACTGCCTGTTTAATGAATTTGGGCTGTATTATTTCATTCTTTTCTCTAGTGACAAGATGATAACATACCAATTATTTGTACAGGCAATGCCCTTCCCTATCAACTTAAGTAAACTAGGAAAAGACTCTGAGGGGGGGGGGTTGGGTAATAAGTGGAATTCATGCTTGCCATCTTATATGGACTTATTTGTACATGAAGTCTTGTGGACATGAGATGAAAACATGTGCTTTATAAGCAAAATAAAATCTTCATGCCTGCATTTCAAATTTCTGGCTAATTTATACACTGTTCAAAGCTCATGCTGTTAATTCAAAGTTTTTGTAGCTATACATGTTAGCTAATCCCACGCACTCCTCAGCTAGCTACCATGCACATTTTGTATGTTAGCCTTTATTGTTTCCATCTGTACTTTTTCTCCTCTGGCTGTTTTAAAAATGTTATTCCTATTTCCGTCACACTATCACCTTTCAGTTTGTCTTGCAAGAATGTGACATCAGCAGCCAAATGAACCATTTCCAGGGCCCCTCTGATGATGCCACAGAGTAAACTGCAGTAGCACAGAGAAGACCGCCCAGCAGGGAGCATTTCCACAAATTCCGATAGAGGAGTCTTGTCCAGAATCAGTGAAAATTCATTTCTGCTTGAGTTTTTACAGGTCACACTTGGTGTAACTCCCAAATACATCTTTTTTTTTTTTTTTTTTTTTTTTTTTTTTTTTTTTTTTTTTCGGAACCGGGGATTGAACTCAGACCCTTGCGCTTGCCAGGGAAGCGCTTATTCCACTGAGCCATCTCCCCGGCCCATCCCAAATACATCTTAAAAGCAACCTCAGCAATTATATGTGTAACTTCTGAATAACTGTGGCATCTTCTTAGACTGGACCGAGCCAAAAAGTCTTCCACCAGCCGTGTTCCAATGCCATATCCCATTTTATCTAAGTATTTGTTCACATCTTCCTCTTTTTCATAATCCTTACACAGTTGGGCAACCAGAGCTCCATAGGTGAGGATCAATAGGTCTTTGTTCTGTTGTGCAGCTGCCAACAGCTCCAGCTGTGGAGTCACTCTGACAGTAGCTTGAGTGCTCAGATCTGATTTTCATCATCCATGTGTCCATGCATGAGTGGTACTTGATACCTATGTGCATTTATTGTTTCCTTCTATTTTGTTGATGAGTATTCCCTCATATAAAGTTTGATGATTCACACATCCAGTGATAAGACATTTGAGTCACTTCCAGTTTACAGTACTCATAAAGACAGTTGCTATGGACACTCATGTACAAGTTTTCGTGTAGACACATATTTTCATTTTCCTTGGCAACCACCGGTGTCCTGGTCTCCTGCTGTCTGCTGAGGTGCTATTCCCCCCTCTTCTCTCTGCAGCATCACTGCTGGACCCGCCACCTGCCAAGATCCTCGCCCCTTGCTTCACTCCAGTGGGACGCCACGAAGTGTGGAGTTCCAGGAGTGCAGAAACCTCTTAAACTGCATTCAAAACAGACACTAAGCTGGACTCCCACAGTGCTGCGGAGAGACACACCAGAAACTGAGAGTGGCAACAGCGCGCCAACATCCCCCATGCCCAGCCACTGGTGACCTGCCCCACAACACCCCAGCTTGCACCTCTTAACAACTAGAGCAGGAATTTTCGCTCCACTTTTGAAGTTTTAAGTTTGAAAGAGAGAAAAATTTACTGCTTCTTGAGGTGCCTTCAGGCCATCTTTTTTATTCTCCTGTTCCTCCTCAGCAGTGAAGATTTCTTCAGCTCTATCTTTGCAGCCCACAGCTTTATTGGAGTTTCCTTTCTGGCCAAACTAACAATATTTTATACCATCCTTATGGGTTCTTTGCTCTTGATTCTCAATGTAAGTCTGACTAAAAGCCCCCACAATAGCCATGCCACTGTCTCAACATTTGACTGCCTCAAATTTTCTTTTGCCAGATTAATCAGTCTGCTGTACTTAATCCCAGTCTTGGGCAAACTCTCTGGACAAGAAAAGACTACAGACAAATTCTCTGCCAAGCCATAACACACATTGGCTGGAGTCCAACAACCAATGCAGTCCTTCTTTCCAGAAATAATCGCCCCAGCCTGATCTTTACAGGCAGGATTTTTATCAGCATTCTGGTCTTCTGAGCTCTGATCAGAATCTCCCACACAGAACAGCCAAAGGTGTTCCAGAGCTTCTCTTTTAGGCGACATCTCTGAATGTTTCCTATCTCTTCCCATAAGTCATTCCCAAAGGCTCTTGAACCGTATGGTCAGGCATAGTCACAGCAACAACCCCACTCCTGGTACCAAATTTTGTATTGGTTACTTTTCTCTTGTTGCTGGGACAAAATACTCAACATCCAAAATTAAGGGGGAAAAGGCTATTTAGCTCATAGCTAATGGAGGTTTCAGTCTGTATTCAGCTGGCTCCAAGGCAAAATGGCACATGGCAGAGCACAGTAGTTCATGGAGGAGAAAAAACAGCAAAAAATAAAGGGAGGAGCAGCAGCTGTGGCAGCTATCAGCCTCTCTCCTTTCCTTATATTGTATTTAGGCTACCTTATCCAGGGTAGGTGTATCACTCACACCCATAATTCCAGCACTGGATCATGAATTAATCTCAAATTCTAGAAACCTGCCCCAATGACTCCATGAGACTTTGGGGGTACAACTAGACACAAACCATAACACTACCCCAATTCTTTCCTCCCTGCCTTCTTGAAGATGCATTTTCTCTTATACTAAAATCAGGCAGTGTGATCTCTCACCTGATTCTCTCAGCTTTTAGCAAGGTGGTTTGGTGCCTAAATAACCATTCAGCTCAGAGTGCCTGTAGGGAGATGAAGGCTTGAGGATATTACACAGCCATCATCTGTTCTACCTTCTCCAAAACAGTTGTTATGGGATAGATGATGCCCACTTCTGTATTGCTGGTATATGTTTGCAGTACAAAGTAATTATATTTGTCTTGGGAGCATCAATACATCACCTGCTGATCATTGTTAATTCCCTCTCTCAAACATGGCTGATGGCTGTATAAGTCAGTAGATCCACTTGTAATTAATGCAACATTCAGATTAATTAAAGTGATGTGTGCCACATGATAGAAATGTCATGACAGGCATTGTACAGAATGCAAGCCTACTTGCACACACATTGAGCACAGTGATGTGCATCTTCTGTCGCCTCAGGAATAAAGCCCAAATCCTTGTCCACAGTAATGAATGTCTGAAGCAATCCATGCAATGCAATAAAGCTTTTTTTTTTCCAGAACCAGGGATTGAACTCAGGCCCTTGTGTTTGCCAGGCAAACACTTATTCTATTGAGCCATCTCCCCAGCCCCCAATAAAGCATTTAAACCTCTTATTTTAACAAATGCTACACACAAAAATCAGGTACATCTTAAAAACCGTAAAGAAAGGAAGGAAGCCACAAATCATGTATGTACCCTGCCACTTTTAATTAGGTTGGGAAGAGAAGCATGAAATGACACTATGTAGCAATGTGAATTTGCAAGCAGAGTCACAGAGTGAAGTCCCTCCCTGTGGCCCACGGTGCTGTGTGCAGCTGGCAAGAGCCTTGAGCTCTTCACCCGAGCAGGCTTTGCGCAGCCTCTGCTTTACGAGAAGTCACTAAAGCCATGGGTGTGCTTCGCTTGAGTTATTAAATTCCATCTTCCCTCAAGGATTTATTTTAAAAGGTTAAAAGCAAAAGCCATGGGAAAATAAGCTTGCACATGGAGAACAGAGGTGAAGCCCCTGTGCTTAGAAGTTGTTTGGCAGGGGGATGGGTTAGAGGAAAGGGGACCTTCAGGCTCTTCCTTCAGCACAGTCGTTCACTCTTCTGTGCAGGGTGCTTGTGAACCAGACACTGTCTTTGGAAGGCAAAGTAAGAAGGGGATGAGAAATCAAGGATGCTGAAGGTGAAGGAAGTGACTTGGAGTGACACCAAGGAGAAGAAAATGGCAGGTTGGCCCACTCCTTGGGCAGGAAGCAGGAACACTACCCTGGTGGGAGAAGCCCCTGCTGAGTAGGAAAAGCACCTGAGGCAGGGTGGAGCTCATTAACCAGGGCACGGTGAGTGTGCAGGAGAGACCTTGCTGCATGCCTCTGGGCCCCAGATGCATGTTAGGTCTGCTTTTCCAGAATTCACCTAGTAGATGCTCAGGTGCATTTAGAAATTACTAGGTTCAGGCTTTCCCTATTCCCCAACATCACATCACTGAACGACTTCAAATATAAGATAGCCAAACACAACCATGCACCCCTACAGTCCCTGGAGAAGCTGAGGCAGGAGGATCACAAGTTCAAACAGCCTGGGCAACTCAGTGGCACCCCATCCCAAAATAAAATATAAAGGGTTTCGGATGTAGCTCAGGGGAAGTAGGCCCCTAGGATCAGTCCACACTATGGGGCAAGAGAGAGATATGGACCAAGGCAGAGGTGGAGATGGAGACAGAGACAGAGAGAGAAAGGGATGGAGAGAGTGCACAACTTCTGAAGCAAGCATCAAGAGACTCAGCACAGCTCCCAAAGGGAGTTCCGTTGCTGTGCAATCCCAGTGGCTTCTCTGAGCTTCGATTTCTTTATCTTTAGAAGAATGAGCTGACCCTATGCCACTCGGTGTGGCAAACAGCTGGGGTCAGATCTTGGCTCTGTGGCACCACAGATGCATCAAAGGGGCCCAGTGGCCCTGCATGAAACTAATGTTCGCTTGTGTGGCCTCTTGGCCTGGACCACTTGACAATGCATGCTGCACAGTCCTCCCCCCAGCCAAGCCCAATCCCATCCCAGGTCACTCAGCTCTACAGGCATTGTTGGAAGCCAGAATAAAATTCACAGCAATGCTGTGTCTGCCCCATCCCCATCTGGAGCGAGTTTGTGAAGGAGAAAGGAACCAGCTACAGCGACGGAATCTAATAATAGTACTGGTGACTGAGGTAGACCAGCGTGAGTGTGGAGGGCTTCCCAGGAGCTAAGTTCATCCTCAAAAAATCCTCTTAAGGTGCACTATTTAAAAAGAGGAACCTAGCTCGATAAGTCTCAGGCTGTGCTCTACAGCCACGTTACAGACTCAGATTCCTACACTCTCGGCCCACACGGGTACGAAATAATCCAAGTGAGTGTCTTCTCCACTGCTGGGCACTGTCAGAGGACAGGCAACAGGCCTAATGACCCTCCCCAGAGCTGTGTCTGCAGCGCCAGGAAATACTGCCCAGTTCTACCCCTGGACCTGGACATCCAACCTTGACCACAACACTGAATGCAAGCTACTCGAGAGGACAGCAGAGCTCCAACCCATCCACTCCAAAACTGGAGACTCTCCCAGGCCCGGCAAGGTCTGGGTACTTCTCCAGGGACACCTCTGCAGGAGCTCCATCTCTCCAGGTCAATAAATAGGACACTGCAAGAGAAAGATTCCCTCCTCTGCTCTCGGAGCACCCTAAGCCTGGGCTTTATAACAGTGTGTCCCTGGGGGCCGGGACTCTGGGCGGCACTGGGCAGCACTCCAGGGGAACGAGCATACAAGCTGAATAATTGCCCCTGCCTTGTCAGGAAGCGTGAGGGAACACGCGCAGGCCTGGCGGGAGGAGCCCGCTCTCCAGCGCTGCTGTGCCCTCAGCTGAGCGGCTTCTTCGCCTCACAGGCGCTCTCCCTCCTGCGCAAGCTGCGTTCTCCCCAGCAGTCCCTGCAGGAAGTGGCGGCCAGCTCGGCCCCACCCACCCCAGCCAGCCTCTATAACCGGGCCTCGGGACCTCGGGACAGCGCAGGGAGCCCCAGCCCGCACGGCCCGCAGCTATGAGCCTGTGTCTTTCTGGCGTACTCTTCTTCCTGATGGTCTCCTTACCTTCAGGTGAGCAGCCCAAAGGTTAGGGTGGCCTGCAGCCCCTCCCCGGCTCGTCTTCCACTGCGCCCTGAAGATCTGTAGGTCTCCTGGGAGGGGCAGGCCGTTTCCCTGCGCAGTCATCCAAATTCCTATTTCACCCTCAAATCCACCCGGACAGCGGACAGCGTGAGACTCAGCCTCCTCGCTGAAATGGGGCGGAAGTGTGAGGGCTGGGGCCCGAAGCCTCGCCACAGAGGAGTCCTCCGCCAGCAGGAAGACAGGCTGAGCCCCTCACCCAGCCTCCTGAAGCCTCCTTTTTCTTCCCTTCAGGGCATGGCATGATTGGGAATAGAGGCGTAGAACTCCGACCCTGCAAGGCTCTTGGGGGCCTGTGTTTCTTCGGCTGTAAACCAGGATGGACGTTTGTTGCATTCTGTCACAACATACTGGCTTGTTGTACAAAGAACAAAGTGTTTATACCTGCCCAGGGCAAAGAAATATGACCTGCGCCAATTAAAAGAATGTGCGAATTCAGAGGGCTGTGCTCTGAGTCTATGCTGCCGGCGAGCCGGAGCGCGGGGAGCAGGGTCCGGCCGGCTACCGGAATTCCCAGAGCATCTCATAAGGAGGCACTGGAGTAGAAACGCGCTTCTTGTTCTTTGTTTCTGCCTTTCGCCTCCAAACACTAACGCAACTGATTAATACAACTTGCAAACTGCGCAGGCTGCTGCCCGTCCCCGGCCCGAGGCATGGCTTGTCCTGAGCGCAGCAGCGATAGCTCCCACGCGCGTTGGTTCCCCTAAGTGACCTCTGTGGACCGCGTCTCTTCAACCCACAACTCTGACTTCTCCCTTTTTGTTCTTTTTTTCTACATTCATAATTGTGTGATTGTATGGTTGTGTGTGTGTGTCATATCAGTCCCCATTCGCGGTACATAATAATTGCGTGTATTGTGAGGAGTTTGCACATGTCTTCATTTCTTCTGTATGGCATTCCCCTCGCAGCTGCCCCCTGCCCATTTGAAAAAGCTGTTCCGTTTTTATTCTTTGATTTGTTTAATCTTTTCTCCCTTCCTTCCCTCTCCTCTCCATCTCTTGTTCCCCTCTCTTCTGAGGAAGAACTCCCTCCTTCCTGCCACAGACCCTGTGTTGTCCTTTTTATTTACACTTCGGGTTTCTTGTCCGAGGCACACAGGCAGTAAGTGGAGGGCTGTGGGGAGACTGCAGACAGGACGAAAGGGAGAGCTCACCCTTGGCCAACCTCAGGTTTCCTGGGGCCCGGGGTCTGCCCAAGTCACACATTGTTACAGAGCACGATCAGCCACAAATAACCATCCATTTTAGTCCTGGTTCTCTCAACCATCATCAAAAGGGTCCAGCTGTTAGCCAGAAATGGTGGCACATTCTTATAATCCCAACATGCAACAGGCTGAGGCAGGAGGTTCACTGTGAGTTCGAGGCCAGCCTGGGCTACATAGTGAGCTCAAAGCCAGCCTAAACTACATAGTAAGACCCTGTCTCAAAAAAAGAAAGAAAAAGGAAAAAAGAGTCCAGCTCTTGGGCCACAGTAACCACTCCCATGGCCAGGTCTCAGCGCCTTCGGATGCAGAAGCAGCGCTGCTTCTGCGAAGTGAGTCCAGACTCCCCCGCACCCTGCCTGCTGGGCAGAAATCTCCTCACGGCGGCCTCCTCCCAGCCTGACCACCAGCGTCTCCTCATCTCCACCTTTGCTCACTACCAGAGCCGCAGAATCCAAGCGGAGTCAGCTGTTCCTGGCCGGAGGAGCGGGATGCAGCCGCCCGCTGTCTCCTCTGCATGCCTGGAGCAAGGCCTCTACCTCTGGGCCCAGAGCTCTGCCCAGCAGAACTAGGTTGTGTTGTCCCATGAGCCGGTTATGACATCCCCTGTCACTCAAGGCGTGTTGGGCCCTGTGGCACTTAACTGTTTCGTTTCTGTTTTGTTATTTTTTACATTTCCAGTGAAGTGGTTTCTTTTCTTTTTTATCCATTTTATAGCACATATTTGCACTGCATAATGACTGTACCCGTGGCAAGGGGTTGGGGCAGGTACATAATGCATCTTAATTATTTTTATGTCGCTCCTTCTCCCCCTCCCCTTCTCTTTTTTACCTATTATCTATCTTTTATGTTGCTTTTTACACTTTACTTTGCTCATATAAGAGAGGTCATGAGAGTATTTAAGCTTGAGGGCCTGATTTAGTTCACTTACCATTAGGGTGACAAGGTGCATTCACTTTCCTACAAATGACTCAAGTTTAGTGCTCCACGTGTGTAAATACCACATTTCTTCATCCATTCATATGGTAGTTAATTGTGCTGTCAACTTGATTCGGTTAAGGCAAGCTAAAACGCTTTACCTAGCTTATCAGCAAAGCTTTGGGTGGGTCTGTGGGTGATTGACAGGCAAGCCACAAACTCGAGGGAAGACCCACCCCGGAGTGGGCAGCACCACCCAATGGGCTTGCAGCCTGGATAGACTAAGGAGGGAAAGAAGCCGCAGGAGCTGCAGTTTTCTCTAGTGCTTGGGTGGTGCGTCTGGTTCCTCCAATCTCCCAGCAGACTTGGCCTCCACTTATCCTTTATGTAATCATATTTTATATAAAATCTGCTCCTTTAGTGAACCTCGATACAGGAGCCTAAGAAAAAAGACTTTCTGTAGGTAGGACCAGCTACTTCTACCCTCAGCTCTCGGAGCACCCTGCACTGGCCTGGGCACGGTGGTGACTCCACACACCAGTGTGCCGGGCCAGCGGTCAGGAAGGCCCCGATGCCCGGACCTGACCTAGCAAGCAGGGCAGAAGGCAGCAGGGCACAGGCCGAAGTCCCCGCCGGCTTCCGACTCTCCTACAGCTCGGGCAGTCTGCTCCAGCCCTTACGGCGAGCTCCCAGCCCGGTGACATAGAAAGGATGGGGCCAGCTTGCTGAGACGCTCATTCTTTCTATGTGTCTTGGTTTTGACTGAGGGGCACGGTCAGTTTTTTCTCCCTCCCAGCTCATCTCCCAGAGCCCGCACACCTGCATCAGAGCACAGGCGGAGCTGCAGCACAGAGCCAGTGCAAGAGATCACTATGCACCCCCATATACTACACACTGCGTGTGCCACACAGGTCACAAGCAGCCCCCAACCCCAAGGTCGCCAGGGCCATAAAAGCCAGCTCAGCAGACGTGAGCTGCCCCCAGCTCAGCCTGACCCAGGTTCCTGTGAAACACACAGATCCAAACATTTACCCACCCTGACCCTGATAACCAAGGTTCCACACTAGGAATCTGGCCTCCCCCTTATGTGGCCCAGACTGGCCTCCAACTTGTGACCCTCCTGCCTCGGCCTCCCAAATGTTGGGGTTACAGATGTGCACCATGACACCAAGCTGGACTCTTGCAACTGTGTCCTCTAACAGAGCAAGTGGCTCAAGAAGCAACCAGTCTATCAAGTGGCATGTCATTGATGCAATCAGGAAAACGTACATTGATAGCAGGTAAGGCATTTGCCTGGGGTCACACGGGGTCACACGAGGTCACACGGCAAGCACGCAGGGACTCAGGCAATGGGAGGTCTCCTCCCTTTCTGCTTCCTGGGCTGTCAAATGAAGCCCCTGTTCTCCCTGGAACCAGCACGATCAGAAGCCAAACTAAAGTTCCCAGGGATGAGGTCAGTTTGGGAAAATATGAACCAGGATTCATGTAGAATCACAGGGCCTTCACTGTTTCCGCTTTTGATTAAAATTTGAGTTGCTATGCACATTCCAGTATATATTTTCTTTTTTTAATACCAGAAACGGCTGAGTTTCCAAACTGGTTGAAGCAGCCTTGTCCCCGCCGCCGGCGGGGCGAGTCCCGGCAGCGCTGTAACCTCCCGAGCGCCCGCCTGCTCGTGGCAGCGTCTCGCCCTGCTTCGATCCCTTTCTGCGCTCCGCACAGCGTCCAGCCGCCTCTCACGCCCGCACGCCCCGGCTGGGAAGGGACGGCGCAGGCGTCTTGCCGACGGTTATGGGGTTGCTCGCCTTTTTATGGCTAATTTGTAGGAATTTCACATTGGCATTTACAGAAACGCACTTATAAACACCAGATGACCTCCGCCCTGGCGGTGGCCCTCTGGCGGCCGCGTCTCCGCCCTGGGGGAGGTGGAGGCAGGGCCCTAACCTCCGGGTGGGGGGATCGGGAGGAGACCCGAAGACACCAGGGCCTGCGGGCGGCACCAATTGTCCATCGCTTATTTTTATTTTATGAAAAAACGAAACATTTCACAACAAAATAATGAGAGAATGACAATAGTTATTTTACTACACTGTGTATCGTTATCTTCAAAGTATATGCTGACTACAAGACCTCAACTGTAAAGACAGAAAAAAAGAAAGAGACGGACAGACAGACATAACAAAGTTTTTACCGTGCGCCAAGCCCTGAGGAGAAACCCTTATAACTGCTGATCACTCTTGACTATTAAGCAAACAAGTGAATAATCGTGGGTTGCCCTAAAGACCAGCCTGGGTATACTGTGAAGGGGACAGAAATCATCCCGGAAGAGGGCGAAAACAGCCTCCATCTGTAGGAGAAGAGGCCTTCTGGGTCCCCACCTTAGCTAGAGCCCTGTGTGCTCCGGTTCCGGGGCTGTGACCCTTTTCCGCCACCAGGTGGCAGCCGTGGCCCACCGGGCCTTCTCATCCAGGTTTGGGCCTGGGCCTGGGCCTGGGGTCTGGGACCACAGAGGTGATGGGGATGCCTGCCTCGTTTCTGCAGTCGCCCTGGAAGTCTAAAACAAAAACAAAAACAAAAAACAGCGAAGGGAAGTTCAGGTCCTGTAGGACAAAGCTCTGGAGACCCGCTGCATCTAACCCCAGCTGTGGGCTTGAAAGGGTTAGGATGGCAGAGTTTGTACTGCTTTCCACCACGTTTCTGTTTTAGGGGGTGGGGGGTTTATTCGTTTGTTTGCGGAACCGGGATTGAACTCAGACCCTTGTGCTTGCCAGGCAAGCACTTATTCTACTGAGCTATCTCTCTGGCCACCAGGAATGATACATTTAAAGCAAAGTAGGTTAGGTCTGGGGAAATAGCTCAGTAAGAATAAGCGCCTGCCTGGCAAGTGCAGAGTCCTGAGTTCAATCCCGGGGACTGCAAAAAAATAAAATAAAAAATAAAGCAAAGTTTCACGGTGCTACAATTTCTCCAACACACACACACACACACACACACACACACACACACACACACACACGGAGAGGCCCAATAGGAGACCTCATTTCCTAAACCCACCACCAGGGGATGAGGCTGGTGTTGTCCAGGCTGGCTTGGGGAGGGAAAGTGTCCCAAGCCCCGGTCTTTCCCAGGCCAGGACCCCCACTGACCACTCCCACACAAGAAACAGCTTTTAGAAACATTTTCAAGAGCAGAGAAATGGAAAAGTGTAAACTTGGATAAAAACCTCACATCAGAAAGAGCGAGCCAGAAATGACATTTTGGGCTGGGGCGGAGCATATTTATTCCAGTGTTGTGCAAGGAATCAACTTCTATTTTA